GAAGCCATGCTCTTAGGGGCCCCGACCTTCTGCAAAGCTGCTCAGGAGGTAGGGCTGAGGCTGGGGACAAAGATCCAGTCCTCACTCCTGTCCCAGCTGGGCCGATTCTGCCTCGTTCTGTTTTACGTACAGGGGTTCTGTTCTCTGGAGCCAAAGATGTGGCCAGTGAACTTAAAAAAAGCAGAAACTGCTGTTCCGTCTGCTGTCCCTAATAGTCTGTCCTTTCAGGCTGGGTTCTGTGCAGTGATCTGGATGGGGAACGCAGCTGGTCTCACACGCTGTGCTGCTGGGATCACTGGAACAGCAGCTAGGGGAGTGTCGCCTGTGTGATGTTGCAGGGTGCCAGTGTTGCCCACCTCCTGCCTTCCTCATGGCTTTGGGTCACTGGCCAGGCCAGGGCTAAGTGCCACAAAGGTGCAAAAGAGGTAAGGTCCAGCCACCCTAGCTCACGGCCCCCACACAGCAAACAACTGCCCACAGGACGGCACACCAGGCAGCTCCCCTTGCAGGCAGCTGGCGGAAGAGGGAAACCCAGGCCTGTGCAGTAGGAAGTGGGGAGCAGAGAGAAAGGAGAGGCCTTCCTGCCCATGTCCTCTGCCTGGCCCGGGTGGGCGGCAGACTGTGATGACCGCTGACCTGCTACGCTGGGGGCCTGGTTCACTTCTGGCATCTCTAGGGCTTTAACGGAGTTTGGTTTCTAGGGCTTCTCAAACGGGAGCTTGTTAAAACAGATTCTGGGGGTCCCACCCAGGTCAGAGGGGGCCTGGAATCCACATCTCTCCCAAGCTCCTGGCAGTGCAGAATCCCCAGCCGGTCTCTGCCGAGCTGGTGGCCTCAAGGGGAGGCCTGGGTGCCCAGGCATGGCTATAAGGAATAACTCAGCACAAGCCCAGGGGCAACATGCCATACTCAGCAGGAGGCACCCCGAGGGTAGCGGCCCTGGGCCTCACCGGCTCCCATTCACGGCTCACCTGGGACTATCCCACTTCTACACCTTGGGTTAGCAAACCTGGGGGGACCTGGAGGTGTACCAGGGGCATTCCAAACCATGGAATCACCCCAGAACAGAGATTTCATCTAAATATAGAGAGTAAGATATTATTTTTATACTAAAATATGCGTGGTGATTTTATGCAAGATGATGCAAAATGCATACAAAACCACTACAATACAACACAGCATTCCAAAGAAACATCCCGCTTCACCACCTGAGGCTGTGGCACGGGGCCCTGGGCTTCGGCTCCCCCTTCGTGGGAATCCAGCCCTGAAGGCAGGTGTGCTCACACAGGAACCAGCCCGCCAGGAGAGTCCTAGGGGACCTGGGGCATTGGGGGGGGCGCCCTGTGCACGGGGAAAGAGGGCAAGGGAAGAGGTGGGAGGGGGCAGGCACTGCAGGGGGGGACAGGATTTGGGAAAGTGGGGGGTCCTCCCGACAGGGGTTTCAGCCCTTAAAGAACCCTTTACTGGGCTAGTACACCGAAGTCCCCAGGGGTAGCTGTGGGCGCCTTGCAAGCATCTGGGGGAAATGCAAAGCAGAATTAGAGCTCTCTGTGTGTAAACGTTGCTCAAGTTACCACCTGTATAGCCAAAGCCTACGGAAAACACAGTGTCCACAAGCAGGGGCCTGGCAACGCCACTTACAGCACGTAGACCTAGGGGACTAGCAGAGTACGGAGAGACAAGGATATTTACTGATCTGGAAAGACCTATTAAACAGCGTATGCAAGCCGAAAAAAAGCAATTTACTGAATGGCACATATAACACCATCCCATTTTGGTGATAGGATGTGAATATTCAAAAGTGAATTTAAACATTCATGGAGAAAGGACTTTTACCCGTGTTTTCAATTTTTCTATACTAATTGTGTATCATTTGAGTCACAATGAAAAATGTTTCCAGTAGAGTATTTCCAGCAGAAGGCAGAACCATTGGGGCAGAACTTCAATTTTCTCTAAAACAGAAAGTTAAACACGAAAACGGTGTACGACACGGAATGGTGATCCTGACAGAACACGCGTGGAAAACGCAGAGTACGAGGCGGTGCCGCGCTGTGCCTGCCGTCAGGGCGGCAGCTGGGACGGTGGGCAACCCCAGCAGGTGCGGTGTGGGGCGGGGCGGGGCCGGGCGAGGGCTCTTCTACCTTTAGGCGCTCTCTAATGGAATAAAAGCCAGTCTCCACCCTAATCAAAACCAGCTTTAAAAGACAAAGAAGAGCCAGGCTAGCCTGGGCTGGGCTTTGTGCGGGCGACTCCCACCGCCCAGGCCGCCCTGCGGTGGAGCAACAGCGCCCCGCCGCGGCCACGGAAGGGAAGGACCCAGGCCTGTCGTACAGGAACGGCATGGGCTCCAGGGAAGCCCAGAGCCAGGCCCAGACAGAGCTTGGGGGGGGGACCAAGGAGAGGCCAAGGCTGCCATGTCTGCAGAGGAACGGAAAGCAGGGGATGGGGAGGGAGAGAGATGCACGCAGGACATGAGTCGCCTGCGAAGAACAGACCACCCCCCACCAAAGGGTGGGTGGTAGCTCCGTACAAAATTGTCCACAGGCCCACTTGGGTGTCCGTGCAAGGCTGAGGTGGAAACCCGGCTTCAAGGCCAGGGCTCTGACACACACCAGGCTCTGGCCAAGTTCCCCTTCAGCTGCCCTTGATTTTGCCATCTGTGAAAGGGGATGATCCTAAGGCCCTGCCCACCTGCCAGACCGCCCAGAGCCTGCACTGAAGACGGCGGCAAGCCCGGGCTCTGCCATCTGCAGGCTGCACGAACGTGGACGAGCTACTGCACCCCAAGCTGCAGGGTCCTAACACACAAATGGGGCTGCTGCCCGCACAGGCCTCCTAGAACTCCATTTCCTGAACTGTGCCCACGACGGATCCTGCAAGCAGTTTGGTGAGTCATGGCCTTTTCCAAAATATGAAACAGAAGAGAAAATGTCAGAGTACAATACACTTAGTAAGATTTTGTATGCGTTCTTGGAACTTTTGCTTCAGTTTTACATGACATATATACATGTGTACCCTGAGTCACGACATACAATATCATTTTTACTGTGGGTCATAGCAAATTGTTTCAGAAATGCTGTCTTAAAGATAAAAGAAGATAATGCAAGCAAATGCTAACTTCGTTCCTGGCATTTAATGAGCTCTCAAAAAACGTTAATTATGCCTGCTGGAGGTGATTAATACCGACTGTTGTAACATGGGTCCTTAAAAGAAAACCCAAGAGGTCTTAAGCCTCTGGGATTTCTCTTAGGTGCTAAGCTTTCCTAGGACTCAGGGCCAGGCCCCTCGGAGGACAGAGCCAGGGGGCGGAGCAGGGGGCAGGTGGTCCCAGGCTAGCTGACGCATCATTCCTGACAATCTGCTAATGAAGTAGGAAATTCAAGGCAGCATTTGCCAAACCCAAAGAGCATTTTCCTACCCAAAAAAGGAGCCACTTTGCTAAGCATGTCCTCCAGGCAAAGGCTGGCGAGAGCCACCAAAGTCCATCTCAGTTTGGCACTACGTGTGGTTTCTTAGAACAACAGAGAGCCCAAGTTCAAACAAAGCCTTGTCCTTATCAAAATAAAGCCGAAGAAGGGCCTTTGGGCTTGGACAAGGCTGATAAGGAGTGGCTATTCCAGGCTTCTCCTGACATCACCGCCACCCTTGCTGCCTCTCCCTCAGGGCCACTGACCCCACTGTTCCAGGACAAGGCCGGCCATGGGCCATAGAGGAACAGGGGGGCCTGGCTGGGGGGCACTCGATGCACCAAGGTGCTGCAGGTCCCCGGCCCCCAGCCCTGTTTCTGCTGTGGCCCCCGAGCATGGCACCTTTCCCCAGTGTGAACCCTCACCCTCCATGCTGGTCTCACGGCCGCCCTAAGAGGAAGGTCTGCAAAGGGTGGGCTGTGCTTTTAGTGCCATATTCTGCATGCCATTTCAGCGGAACTTGCCTCTGCCTGATGTCTTTTTTTTTTTTTTTTTTTTTGAGACAGAGTCTCATTTTGTCACCCGGGCTAGAGTGTAGTGGTGTCGTCATAGCTCACTGTAACCTCAAATTCCTGGGCTCACGTGATTCTCCTACCTCGGCCTCCCAGAGTGCTAGGATTATAGGGGTGAGCCAACGAGCCTGGCCTCTGCCTGATTTCTAGTTCCTTCTGGAGCAGCACCTGCAGGACGGGCTCCGTCGCCTGCTCCCTGAGGACTTCAGCGAACCTCCCACATCCCGGACTGTGGCTGTCAGAGGGGCCTTGGGAGCGATGTCTGCTTCCCCAGCCGCCTCATCTGACCTGCCCCTACCCCAGAGTAGGGTCCATGCAGTGGGGGCTCAGGAGCAGCTCACTGATTAGCTGAAGGCAATCAGAGGGCCAGGAAAAGAGGAGGGACATGAAGGCCAGAGAAGCGGGACACCATCCAGGAGGGAGCCCTGAGACCACAATTGGCCTCCCTCTTCTGTTCCTGTCAGGGTAGGGCTTGTGTGTGCACACACGTGCACGTGCATGTGAAGGGGACATGGTCTACTGGCCAGGCACCCCAGGGCTCACTCCTCCTCCCTGCATCACATGCAGTTGGCACTTGTGGGTCACAAGTCCCTTTCACCCTTGTGACTCATGAGGACGCTACAGCCACTCTGTGGGGAGGCAGGGCCAAGTTGAGTATTCCTGCTCTGCATGCAGGCCCAGAGAGCTGCAGTCACAACTGGAAGTCACACGACTGGCAGAACCCAGGTCTCCTGGTGCCAGCAGGGGTGTTTGGCAGCCTGGGCTACTGAAGTGTCATGAGGGCCTCTGCCCAGCCTCAGTGCAGAGCTAGTGGCAAGGGACACCTTATGACCAGGCAGGCGCAGGTGATACCTGAGCCCAGGCCACAAGACATGGGGGATGCCGAGGGCATGCAGAGAGCCAGTCCCCAAGCATGGCAGGCCAAGGACCCGTGGCCTGGACCCCTGCAAGAGGGAGGAAGGGGTCATCTCCAGATGGCTGGGACAGGCAGAAGGGGCCCTGTCGGCAGTGGGAGACCTACCGCATGATGCCAAGAGGATCCAGCACCTCCTCCTCCTCCTCCTCCTCCTCCTCCAAGGACTTCTCTGCATCTTCGTCCTTCAGGCCCAGGCTGGGCGGACCCTCACCCGCCACTCGGTCTTGCTGCTCAAAGAAGTCAAAAGCCTCCTCATCGTCCCCTGCCTGGCTGTGTGTGTCACCCAGGATGGAGGAATCTCTGCTGGTGAGACCCGCAGCCCCTGGGGTTCTGGTGCCTGTGGAGGAAGACAGGAAAGAAGGGACTTCACACCCAGCCCAGAGGCAGAGGCGGCCTCGCCACACCGCACCCAGGATTTGAGGCCAAGGGCTTCCTGCAGTTTCGTGGGACCAAACTCTGCCCTGAGCCAAGATGGTGTGTCTACGTGGATGGGAAGCGACCACCATCGCCGGGGGCAGCCAAGTGCCTGCTGCAGCCCTCCAAGGGCTGATGGAGTGGTCACAGGACTGAGCTTCAGGGCAGGACAGAGGCAGGGGTTCCTGAACCTCCGCAGCCCAGAGCCCGTCTACACCGCAGGACAGCTGAGCCCGCCTCCACCAGCCTAGCGGTGGGGCAGCCAGCCAGCGCACAGGGCGATTCAAAAAGAACCAGCACCTCCAGGACCACTTCACAGCCGTGAGGCACGGCAAGGAGCTCTGCCAGTCCAACCGCGGACAGAGACCGTGAACTCAATGTGTGCACACAGTGAGCACGGAAGATTCCAGAATAAACTGTGATCAGTCCATTACAAACTGGCTTAGACCTGTGCTTCTCAAAGTGTGGTCGCAGGCAGGTATCCATGAGTTAAGTACAGATAGGAATCCAGAAACTTCCATAGCTGCTTGGCATCACCATCACATCCCAGGATGCAATTCTGTATTCGTGACAGCATCCGTCTGTGACAGGCTGGGAATGAGAACGCCAGTCCTCCCCCATGGGTAGCTTGAGAAGCGTGGGCTGATTACTTGTTCATCTCTATCCAAACTGTTACTGGGTAGTCTATTTGAAAGCATCAACTTTTTAAAAAAATTGCATTGTAGGTAAAGAGCTTAGCGTGTCCGGCATACAGGATGTGCTGCGTGATGATGACTACGTTGTGTATTATGTGTTACAACATTTGGACAAAATGTGAAATACCAGTCATAATCTCAAGAACCTTCAATTTCATGTAATAAGCCTCATGGAATATGCATTTTACATTTAATATCACAAAGCCCTATGAATGAGACCCTAACTGTTCCTCCATTTTAGAGATGAGAAAACTGAGGCCCAGTGTGGCTGGGGAGGTTGGCCCTGCTGCGCTTCCTCTCCATGACAGAGGTGCCAAGACATCTACACCTCAGGGACCCTAGACCCCTGGGGGGACATAAGAGTCCCAGGCCTTCTGCACGTTCCCTGGCTTTGCTCTTGAACCCCCACCTTCACTTTTTTTTTTCAGTTAGTTTACTTGCCATCGACTTTGTTTTGCAAAATTCCCTTTTGTTTTGTGGATCTAGGAGATTCACAGCAGTCAGGAAAAGAGTTAAAGCCAAGGAGACTGACCTACTGATCCAAGGAGGGGAGGGGTCAGGGCGAGGGTCCAGCACCGCCAGTGGGGCCTCTCTCCACCCCGAGGACACAGGAGAACCCGCCCGCCCCGGCAACCCCCGGGCCAAGCCGAAAACCGCCCCAAGGATCCGGGGGGGCCCAAGGGGGGGCCCCAATCCAAACCGTTCAAAAGGAAGAACCCAACTAAACCCAACAACAACCCGCAACCAAGCCAACCCCAACCCAAAAGGCAAAAAAACGAAAAAAAAAGGGGGGGGAAAACGAAGGGAAGGGCCCGGCCCCCGCAACGAAGGGCCGGAACCCGGGGCCGGGCCCCCAACCCGGAAGGGGGCCCCCCAACCCCCCCAGGGCCGGGTGGCAGGAGGTGACCCTGTGATTATGGGTCAGGGAAGCTCTGGGGATGGGGCTGACTGGGAAGGCCAGGGGTGGGTCCCACTGTGGAGATGCCCCTTGTGAGCCCCATCTCACCCTGGACTCAGTCCCTCGAGGGTTAGTGCCCTGCCCACCACCTGGCCCAGGGATGTGGGTAAGGCCCACCTGCCTCAACGGCCTGGCTGAAACTGCCCGGCCTCAGAGGGCAGCTGTGGACCCGCCCCCGCCGGGCCAGGGCAGCAAGGCCCAGTTCTGGGCTGGGGAGACCTCGGGGACTCGGGACAGAGCCTGGGGTACCTAAGAATTCTAGCAGCTCTGGGCTGCCTGCCAGCTCGGCATCCTTGGAGACACAGCGCAGAATGTCATTGAACACGGCTCTCCTTTCCCGGATGTCAGACTCCCCAACAAACAGGACCTTCCTGGGGAGCGGGGGGAGGCTGGCTGTTGCATAACGACTGCTCAGTTTCTGGTAAAACTCCTCAATCTCGCTGTACTTTTTGGAGACCTGGAATGAGAGGAGCATGCGGTTTTCTCAGTGAAGAGCGGGAGGGGGCGATCCTCTCCCCCCAGCCAGAGGTCGGAGGCGGCGCCCGGCCACGGGAAGTGTGCTGTCTCCCTGCCTCGGGCTCTCATGCTTAACCCTCCTAGTCAACGGCAGGCTCACTGACAGATGCCTTAATGGCCCGAAGATGCAATGCTGCTGCTGCTCCGGGCACTGTCACATCCCAAGTAGACACTTTGGACACAGGGACCCCGGCCTGGCCTGTGGGTGACCACAGCTGCCACCTCCATGCCGGGCTTCCAGCGCATAAGCAGGGTGATCTCACCATCTGGCAGGCGGCCAGGTCATCTTCCTGCAACACTGTGAGTCACCTTTTCTCAGCACAGACCTCTTGATGGCTCTCCCGTGAGCCAGCGGCAGCCTTGGGCAGGGCTGATCCGTGCAAGCAGTGGAGGCAGAATTTGCCGACGCTGGCTGCCTGCCCTGCCGTCAGCCGGGACCCCTCGGCGTGCCAGAGCCTGGGCGAAGCCGGCTGGGGCCCCGTTGTGGCCAGGAGGAGGTGACCACGCCTGCTGCTCGATCTCTCCCCACAACTCCTAGGCAGCTAAGTCTCCGCCCTCCCACTCATCAAGCTCCCGCTGAGTGTCACGCAGTACGGGGACATCTCAACAGGCTCTGGATCTCGCGAGACAGCACGGCAGGTCCAGTGCCGTTGCCACGGTCTGTGACCACGTGTGGGTGCTCAGAGGAGAGTCCCCTGTGCTGTGCACACACCACCAGCCTGGCGTCCACCCTCAGCGCTGGGCTCCTCTGTGATCCCCCCAGAGCTGTGCCGTCTCCCCGACTCTGTGGGAGTGTCTAGGGTGAAGTCGGGCCACTCCCAGGCCCAGGCCGCACCACGCACACCACCGGAGTGCCATGTGCGGCTCACTGGCAACACCACCCAGAACCCTCCCTAAAGGTTCTAGACACTAGAAGGTGACTGAGGGACTCCAGAACCCACTCAGTGGGGAGTCGTCTGAGATGGGGCAGGGGTTGCTGCCTGCAGCTGTCAGCACAGAGCCTGGCTCTGGAGCTTTCCAGAGAACAGCTTTCAGGAGAGGCAGGAAGATCCTTTCACAAAGTGGCTGGGAACACAGGCTCCAACCAGGCTGTCCCAAGGAGCTGGTGACTGCAGCCAGACAGGCAGGGCAGGCCACTGTGGTGGCCGAGCGCCCCCTGCTGGCCCGACTGCTTCCACGCAGTCTGGGTCCATAGCCCCGCCAGTCCCACCGTGATCCCCAGAGCTTGGGCAGCTGTGAGGCTGGGCTCTCAGCCCACACACAGCCCACGTCCATCAGTGTTGCAGCCAGGCCTTCTCAGGTAGCTACCTGCACCAGCAACCAGAGGCCAAGTGAGAGGCACTGAGGGCAGAAGGAGCTGAGGGTGGGAACTCACACTCATCTGGGGCCCCGTGTGCCGGGCACGGGGCAGACAGCCCCTAACATAAGCGTGTGAGTGCCTGCAAAACCTCGGCTACAGCGCCCCTGCCTGGGGGCGGCTTTTACTCCATGGTTAGCAATTAAATACATATGTATATTAAAACATGCATGCCCCTTTAAGGAGTAGATGCAAAATGCTCACTAATTCTTTTCAGCTAAATCATGAGACTTCAAAGAGATTTCAGGCTTAGGGCACACAACCTCGGGCTACTCTATCAGATCCCACAGAGAATAAAGCAGTTCTCCTTTGCTCTCTCCAGTACTTCAAAATGAGAAGCCCCTGCAAACGCACGCACAGACTTCACAGGGCGTAGGTGCCACGGACTAGAAAAAAGTGGCACTGGTATGACACACGGAGGTGTTACGACAGCCTCATGAACACCTGCATGTAAGACCAGCCCTTTGCTCAGGACGGAGCAAAACAGCAGGTGAGGGGCTCAGGCACCTGTGAAGAGCTGGCCCCACTGATCATTCATTAAGGTAATTCCTTGCTGACCCCCCCATAATCATGGACGTGCAAATTATACCTATCTTAAGCACCTAAAACTAAAGTCTGCTCCACTAATAACACTAACAATGAATTAAAGTTTGTCTTTACAGGTAACAAAACCGAAGACACAGAATCAAACATTCTTCCACCTAGCCAGGAACATCTACACAACTGATGTTTCCTTCCCTCCCTTTTCCCTTGTAACATCCCCCTTATTTTATGTAAAATGTAGATTTCCTGGGCCTGTCAAGAATGTAACCACTTTGCCTTATCACCTCCCACCCCCCACTGTCTTTTTCCTTCTCTATAGGCTTTAAAATACTGAAGTTCTGGCCAGGGCGGTGGCTCACACCTCTAATCCTAGCACTCTGGGAGGCCGAGGAGGGTGGATCCTTTGAGCTCAGGAGTTCGACACCAGCCTGACCAAGAACGAGACCTCATCTCTACCAAAAATAGAAAAAGAAGTTAATTGGACAAGTAAAAATATATAAAAAACATTAGCCGGGCATGGTGGCACATGCCTGTAGTCCCAGCTATTCAGGAGGCTGAGGCAGAAGGACTGCTTGAGCCCAGGAGTTTCAGGTTGATGTGAGCAAGGCTGACATTGTGGCACTCTAGCCTGGGCAACAAAGTGAGACTCTGTCTCAAAAAATAATAATAACATAAAATAAAATAACTGAAGTTCCACCTTCCCCTTCTGAAAAAACAGCCACGGCTAGTCTGCAGTTCATGTATTTTTCAGGTGAGCCCTCAAATTTGGCTTAATAAACCTCCAGTGGTTGAGATTTTTGCTTCTGTCATTTACTTGAGTTGACAGGAGCAAGGCAGACCAAGAACCACACCCTAACAATGAAATGAGAAACAGCACTGCTAGTTAAGACACTTCCCATGATGTTGCCAGAAGTCCCTTAAAGATCTGTGCCATAAATTTTTCTTAAAATTTAGTGCCTCTTTCAACAGGTCACCAGAATGATGCAATTCATTGTTCCCCTTTTCGTCCTGGCTGCCAGGAGATTCAGAGCTAGCCTGTGTGCAAACCTGCAGCAGGTCGCTCCCCTTTGTACCATGAGACCCTAGTTCATTTCACCTTGTCTAGTAATCCTGTAGCCTGTCTCTCCTGGGCCCCACACCAGGGCCTTTTTATAAAAGGCAAACAGTTAATAATAAGGCACGATCTCGGCCCTTCTTGACACTCTCTCCTCCTTCAGCTCCTATGACTCCACAGTGGCCCAGTTCTCCCCCCTCTGCCTCACCTGTACACTACCCCTTCTTGACAAGACAGCTGATGTCCTCAGGATTCCCTCCTCAGCCCTTCTCCCCACCCTCCACATCTGTTCTCTGGGCAACTGCATCCACTCCCAGGCTTGGGAATGGCTTTTAGCATCACCTCCAAGCTGACGTCTCCCAAATGTGCATCTTAGGCCTGACCCCGTCCAGAGCTCCAGCCTTGTGTATCGGTCCATTGGGTGGACACGTCACAGTCAACATGCCCCCTCAGATCTGCCCCTGCACAGGTACTCTTTACCTCAGTGGGTGTAAATATTTCTAACTCCCCCTTCCTTCCACACCGACTACCACTGGCCTGCTCCAAGCCCTCACCTGGGGACCGTGCCTTCCAACCCAGCTCCATGCTCCCAACAGACTGGTTGGTTAAAGGCACACAGGACCACGTGACCATGTCACTCCCCTGCTTGAAACTCCTCCTCGGCTGCAGGACAGGTCCGGGCCCTGAGAGCTCCCTAACCCAGCTCCTGCCTGTCACCCCCCTCCTCTCCCACTCCATGCCAGGACCACGCTGGACTGCTCAGAGTTCCCCACACAACACCCGTCTCCAGCCGCTGTGCCTTTGCTTAGGCTGTGCCCTCCGCCTGGGACACCCTTCTCCCCTCTTCTGCGCTGAGCTCCACCTGCTCTTGAAAACACAGCTCAGCCCTCACCTCATCTGGGAAGTTTCTGGAATGTGTTACCCAGGGTGGGTTAGATGTCCCTTCTCTACACGCCCGGACCCCCTTTGTATTTCTGTCACCGTCTGTATCCATGTCTTTACAAGCCTGCTACTCGTGGACTAACAGTGTCTGATTCACTCTTAGGTCCCTATCACCCAACATGGTCTGGCACTCCGGGCCCTGAGTGACCGAGCAGTGGATAGAGAAGTGCCCACCCCGACGACACTCACACCTGGTGGGCAGGTGTGGATGCCCCCCAGACCCCAGGCACCCTCAGAGCAACCTGGCCAGAGCCCCCAGCTCACCAAGAACTGGACGACATCCTCGGGCTTGTGCTTGGCCGACTTGAACACGGCCAGCCGGGTCACCACCAGGATCTGGTACTCCACGTGGCCGGACATCATCTTGCCCCGCACCTCCTGGTGCTGGGGCACCGTCAGGTCGAGGCCCGTGTGGACATTCTGAACTCGCCTGCCAGAGGAAAAGAGGGCAAATGAAGCTGAGGTTCAGGTCGGCAGAATTCTCAAGGGAAACTCAGGCAGGATCTCAGAGTGGCCTGGCAGGCCTGGGTGCCAGGCTGCTCTGCTGGCCGTCCTCAGGGTCCTCAGTGGTCACTGCTCCAGACCACCTGTCCCGCCACACAACAGCCCCTCATGAAGCCTGGCCTTGGTCCTGCCTTTGAGCTGCTCAGAGACAAATGGTCTGTTCCCAGGAGCAAAACAGGGAAGGATGGGGCTTGCTGACAATCACGAACGGCTAAGTGTTTCACACCAACTCAGACGTGAGCTTTGCAGAACTGGCAGAGGTGACAGCCCCGGTGATCTACACAGACCAAGGGAAGTACCTGGGTCCGTGTGGACAACACAGGAAGGAAACTCCACCGGGCACATGGAGGGAGGTGGGGAGCCGCTGCAGGGCGCTCCCACAGGGAACCTGGCTGGGTGCCAGCGTGGGGCCCTCCTCAGCCTCTTCCGGGCAGTCGATACCTCCCTCTGCAGTGCTGGGAGGATGTGTCGGGTGAATACCAGGGCTCTTGGGAAATTTTGAAATTCAATTCAAACATACTGAACTGTACAGAGAACAAAGAACTGTAAGTGGTGTATTTTCCTTTTTTTTGAGACAGAGTTCGGCTGGCTTGGCCCAGGCTATGTTAGTGCCTGTTAGGTTCGGTCGCCTAGCAACGGATCCTCAAACTCCTGGGGTCAAGCGATCTTCTGCCTCAGCTCCCGGGAGGTGCTGGACTACAGGGCATGCACCACGTATGGCTGAATTTTTCTATATTTATTAGTTGGCAATTATAGTAGAGGGGTCTTGCTTCATGGCTGGTTTCGAACTCTTGGATTCCTGATCCCCTCCCACCACCCCGACTCCCCAGATGTTAGGATTACAGGCATGAGCCACCGCGCCCGGCCGGGACATTTTCTTTTAAGTGAGAAAAGCTATCCAATGTGTCCCTCATCATACGTAAGGGTGTGACACAGACCTGCGTGGACCTACGTCCCTCACACCAACACCTCGGGCAGGACGTGCCGAGCACGCTCTGATCATCGAGGTGGGACCAGCTGTGTGCTGGGCAGAGCTCTGGGAACACCAGGGCTGAGGCCCCGAGCAGGGAGGAGCTTCTGGAGCTTAATCTTGTGCCCGGGGCAAGGCCCTTCCCTCTCCAGAATTACCAGAGCTCTCTCTCAGCACCCCTTCTGCACAGACTCCTCACGTCCCCTGCTAGGCATGTGACACTGTCACCAACATGCTGCTGTCACCGACTGGGAAGGCCAACACAGCATGCCTCCTCGTGCCACCTGTGTGCGTGCCCAGGGACTGGGCACACCGTCCTCCCGAGGAACATTCTCCCACGGCACAGTGCGGGCTGTGATGAGCACATTTATGCAGACCCAGGCTGGCCGGCACCAGGGCGCAGAAGGGCCAGATGCGAGCTGTGAGGTGAAAGGCACCGAGGCCAGTCAGGGCTCCCTGTCAGCAGCCAGATGACGCTGCGCTCAGACGGTGTGTGCTTGTGGCTTGGTGCTGCACACGGTGTAGCCATCACGGGTGTGGAAGAAAAGGGCCAGGCTGAATGCTGAGGACAGAACCGCAGCAGACACAGCCTGAGCACCTCACCTGTGCCTGGGCGGCTGCTGCCCAGCAGCCCTGCAAAGGAGCTCTGCTACCCAGACCCACTCACAAGACAGGGGAACAGGTCCAAAAGGGAGTTGCTCACATAAGGTCTCAGTGGGTATGCAGCAGAAACAGGGTGCGATCCCTGGCACTCCTCCAGAGCCCGGAGGCCTCTCACAGAGCATGAGGAAGCACCAGGCATCGTTTCTTTAGGATCATCATGGAATCGAAGCACAGGTGGGAGAAGTGACGAGGAGGAGGGCACCTGAGCTGGAGGGGATGACCACTTGGAGTGAAAATGGGATGGTGGGGACCCAGGCGTCCCATGGCCAGCACCTCCCAACATCCAGCTCCCTGGCAGGACCTATGTCTGATGATTCTCTAACTGCACCAGAACCCCCAATCCACCACCCCTCCCCGTCCCAGAGTCCCATTTGCCTGCTGGAACCCTCGGTAGTGAGAGGAACAGCTGGCCTGGCCTGGGAAAAGCTGGCTTCTCCAGTCCTCTGCCCTGTGCCAGGCAGCTCGTGGCTGGGGACAGACGTGGCACAAGCATGCCGCCTGCTCCCCGCAGAAATTCAAGGCCGCAGACTTCAAGGCTATCACCACACCAGGCCTGGCCACCCTAGTTGCCCGAGACGTGGGATTCTCAAAGTGTGGTCCCTGGATCAGCATTGCTTTGCCTGGGAACTTGAGGAAGGCGCACGAGGGACACTGCATCGAAAGGCCAGGGTGGCCGCATCCTTGTTTTAGCAAAGAATCGCCCTCCGGCGACTCTGGTGCGCCTGGGCCTGGCCCAGTCACTCTCCCACTTCCCTAAGCCCTAAGGAAACTTTCGGTACAGGGCTGGAGAGTAAATATTTAGGCTTTGTAGGCTACGTGGTCTCAGGTGCAGCTGCTACGGACAATACATAAACAAATCGGGTGTGTTGGGCAGGATCTGACCCACGCCTGTGCCCCAGACCAAGCTTCTCAAATTGTGCCCTGTGTTCAAGCCCCCAGGTTCAGAGTGTGGTCCCCCAGGTGGGCGCGAGAGTCTGCATTTCTAATAAGCTCCCAGGTGATGCGGACGCGTCCCTGTGCTGCTCCAGGCACCATGAGAAAACGCCCTGGGCTTCACCGTCACATTCGCCGCTCAGTCTGCACCTGTCTCATACTCGCTGTCTCCTCCCGGGACTGCGGACAGACTGGCTGCTCCTAAGGCCACCCGTCCCTAGCCCCTCCCGGCTACTCAGGGACGTGGCTTCTGAGGGCTCCCCACTCTTCCTCGCCATCAATTTCCCTGCCTTACTGGATCGCTGTCATCAGCACGCAGTCACACTGCGACCTGCCTGAAACAGGAGCCATGCTCTGACCCACCCCCCCCTTGCTCAGTTTCCCTCCGCCCCTTTCTGGCAGAACCCCTCAAACGAGTGGCCCATATTCACCGGCTCCGGTTCCTCTCCTCCAAGCAGACTTTTGTTCTCGTCGTGCACCCAGGTCACCTGTGACCTCTGTGTTGTCAAATCCAGAGGTGAGTTCTCACTTCCCCTCTTGCCTGACTTGTCAGCGGCACCTGGCGCAGTGGGCCGCTCCCTGCCTGAAGCTCTGGCCTTCACGGGCTGCCGGGACACCCCACTCCTTGTGGCTCTTCCTCTTCCTCCTGGCCACTGCTGCTCAGCTTCTCAGGATGGTTCCCTGATGGCACCCAGCACCCCCTCTCGCAGCGCTCCTCCCCAGATGAGCTCATCCAGGTTCAAGGCGTTAAATGCCATTTATGGGCCAATCAATGGCTCCCAAATTCCTCTCTCCAGCCCAGATTCTCCTCTCCCCAAAGCTGGCCGCCTCCAGGTTGCCTGCCTGACGTCTCCAATGGGTTGTCAACAGGCTTCTTAAACCCACATGTCTAGACAGACACCGATGCCCACCTTCCCCCATATCTGCTCCGTTCGGTCTCCCCATTCCGGGAAACCGCAACTTTGATCTTTCAGCATCTTGGGACAGGGGCCTTGCGGTTACTCCTGACTCCTCCTCCTACTCCTCACATCCCACACCCAAGCAGCAGCAAACCTGGAAGCTCAATCCTCGAAATACATCCAGAACACTGACGCTTCTGACCTCCGTGGCCGTCGTCACCCTGGGCCAACCCACCAGGGGCTCTGTGGGGATTCCTGCAAGGAGTGAACCACCAAGGGCACAGCGAGACTCCCCTGTGCCCACCAAGGGCGCAGTGAGACCCCTGGCCACCCCTGCCTGCAGCCACCCCACACCAGCCCAGCCACAGCCCACGCTCAACACGGCAGCCAAGGGATCTCTGTAAAACAGAAGTCAGGTCCCATCATGCTCAGAATGAAATCTGATGGCCTACAAGGCCTTTCCTGATTGTCCCCTGCTCCCACTGTGTCACCTAGCACCCCCAACCCCACTAACTCCACTGCAGCCACACCAGCCCCAGGACCTCCGCTCCTGCTGTCCTCACAGCTGGACACACATTTTTCAGGCTTTCTTTTTCCTGGCTCTCTCCTTCGGGGAACTTGTCAGGGATCTTCCCAGGGGCCACTCTACGAGAAAGATGTTCCCACCACGCCACGTAAGACACACGTGTTCCTCCTAGCACTCTACAGCCCCTGCCGTTTCATTTTCCTCCACAGCATTTATCATCCCTCACATGTTCTATGTTGCCTGTTGTCCGTCTGACCCCACTGGAGTTCCAAGTTTGGCTCGCTGCCGTCTCCTAGAACCTGGACCAGCACCTGGCACAGAGAAGGCCCTCAATAAACACCTGCTGGCTGAAGGCACGAGTGGGTCACGTGGCGACATCACGTGGGAGGAGGTTGGGTGGAAACAGGAGCTGGAGCCCCAAGGAAGAGCACCTGGCCGTGGTATTTGCACTCACCCTGCAGGCAAGCCTCTGGCCTCCACCACCCGCACCCGAGTGTCTGTTAACAAGCTGTGTCTAGGTCGGGCACCGAGGGAAGCCACTCCTCCCCCCAAGCACCCAGCACCAATGTCACACTCCGTCCACCTCCACGTGGCAGAGGGGCATCTGCTACTGCTGATGTCTGCCAGTCTCAACCCTCCAATGTGCAGAAAAGTAAACCAAGGCTCCGTGAGAGCAGGCGACTTGCGCGCAGCAGGGAAACCTCTTCTGCCCATGAAGGTGCAACCTGTAACCGAGGTCAATCACCCAGAGACCAAGCAGGTTCTGACAACAAGGTTTACGAAAAGATTGTTTTTCTAGATCTGAATTCCAGATAACAACTGGAAGATTCATAGTTGGGCTGGGTGACATTCGCTGATGTAATAAACTGGCCCCTTAGCCCAAGGTTTTGTGTAGGGGGACAAGGGTGGAGTATATGAAAATAGTTGAAGTGAGTCACTTCACAGCTTTTTAAAACAGAGTGAAAGAGTAAAACTATGACCCTCCCAGCCTTCCCAGGATCCAACCAGTGCCATGTCCTCCAGGCCTGGATCAGCGCGCTCCAGGGCCTGTGCTGTAACGTGCAGGTCTCCTGAGCTGCTCCTTGAGCAGCTGCCACCTCCCCTCCACCTGGTCACCGTCCACTCATCCTGCAGGACCAGGCCTCATTCCCCTCCTCCCACAAGCCGGGGTCCTGCCCTGCTCTGTGTTCCCATGGCAACCTGAACTCACGACCCCCTCCTAGCATCTACCCCTATTCCCCGCCGCAGGGTTTCCCGCAGGGCCGGGCTCACCTGATTCACCCGGGGCCCAGCGTGAGCACCAGCTGGCACACCTGAGCGCTGAGAGGATGCAGAAGTAAACTTTCCGGCCCAAAGAGAAGAGCCCAAGTGGACAGGGAAGGGGAACAGTCTCCTCTCTGCCCGCCTGCACGGAACCGGCCAGCCCCAGGCACCCCATGGGGTCTCGGGTGAGCTCTTTACCCTCCAGGGGGCCTCAGTTTCCCCAACTGGAACACCGGGACACCAGAGGTGGGCCGCGCCACCTGTCCTGCAGGGGCCCAGAACCGACGAACTACTGAGATCGTTGGGGAGACCCGCGCCGGCCACAGACCCCCGGGGGGCGGCCGTCCCCGCCGTCCCCGCCGCCCGGGACCCCGAGCTGCCCGAGGCCGGCGCCGGGCGCGGGGTCTGGCTCACCTGGAAGTGACGAGCACCGCCGGGGACTGCATACGCGGCGGCCGCGGCCGGGGCTGGGCGCGCAGTCACGGGACCAGGCAGCGCCGGCGTCGCCGCGCCCCGCCCGCTCCGGGCGGCAGCCCTCCGCCGCCCGGCGCCGCCCCTGCGGCCGCGACCGCGCAGTGCGGCGCCTTGGGTGGCCCGGGCGGGCGGCGCTGGGGCCGGCCCTGCAGGGTGGCGGTCTCAGCGCTCGCGGCGCCCCTGAGCTCCGTCCCCGAGCTGAGCCGCGCCCCCTGCAACCTGTAGAGCGCCTAGCCTGGGAACTGGCACGCGGGGCGTGCAGTGTGTTCGTGGTCCCGGATGTTTACCTGCTGACCAGACGGGACCCGGCTCTGTTTCTGCAGCTAGTCCCAGTACAGAGCTACTCGGCCCTTCCCTCATGGCCTTTTCATTCATCCAGCCGGTCAACAAACATCTACTAAGCCGGGACTCTGTCCAGGGCCGGTGGAGATTTGGAGCTACACAGGGAACACCGCGGCACAGGGAACACGCCCCAGCCTGTGCTCTCAGGGTGCGCCCACGGACTCGCTGCCTGCAGCTCCCTCCCCTGCCCTCTCTCCCTGCTACGGTCTGTGCACCTGTACCTGGCAGGCACTGCCCCGCAGAGGATCTTCGGAGAGCCACTCCCTGGTGGTGGTCAGAGCTCTGGGTGGAGGCCTCCTGGCCCCTGGTGGGCCCCAGCTGGGCCAGGGCAACGGGGCCCTGGGGCTAGTTCCCCTCCAAAGGGGGCTTAGGTATAGAGGTGTGCACATGTAATACACCCTCTCATAATAGATTCACCGCTCCATGGAGTGAAGAACAGAGAGGTAGTAGCCCAGGAAAAGAAACGCTGAGTCTGGAAGCAGGGCCCGGAGAAAGCGCTGCTCCTGTTCTGCTGCTCTCTCCGTGGAGGGGCCCAGGGACCAAGAGCTGCAGAAGCTGGGCTTAGCCACGCCAGAAATCACGACAGGGTGATGTTGGCCACGTTTCCTAAGCTTCCCAACCACCACCATCATCATCGCCACTGACACCATTGCCTGCCTTTGATTTTAGTGAAAATTTGAAACGTGACTTTCCTCAATGTATCTCTTGAACAAATGCATTCATATGCCTTTCTGGGTTTGCTTCAAATTTGTTTACAGACAAGATGAGCAATAATGAGTGGAAGGATGGCTGAATGAATGAAAGCTCTGAGGGAGGACAGTGGAGGCTTCAGGGAAGAGCTCGGATCGGTGGCCAGAGCTGCTGCCTGCCCTGTCTGCTTGCCGGCTTGTCTGGGGCCAGGGCTGGTGGGTCCATATAGTCCTCCATGGCGTGTTGAAACTGACATGCCCCACTTTAGAGGAAGGGAGTTCAGTGTCTGGGCAGAAGATACTATGGGCTTCAGCATTCCAGGGGTCTGGGTGTAGTGCCAGCCGGTTGAGCCGTCGCTATTGCACAAACATTTGTCTAGCAGACACAAAGTGCTGGCTGCTAAGAATACACAGTGAATAAGGCACTTTTGCTGCTTTCAATGAGCTTCGCTGCCCTTACACTCGCAGAGTGGGTAGGGGTCAGATAAGGCTTCCTAAAGGTGCCAGAGACCAAGGTAAAACCTGAAGAAATGATGGGTAGAGTAGAGGGAATATTGTACATGAAGACCTAGAGACAAGAAAAGGACATCGGGGAGAATGGGGAAGCGGCAAGCAGGAGCCAGGGCATGGAGAGCCTTGGGCACCAAGCCTAAGGCTTTGCCAACGTGAGGCCATTGGAGGGTTGTGGACATAGGGGTGGGCTAAGCAGCTGAGCTGTGGACAGGGGTTTGGAGCACGTGGTGCTGAGGGCAAGAAGATGAGCAGAACACTCTAGACTAGAGATGATGGCGGCATGGACTAGGGGTGATGGCTGCCCAAGTGGAGAGGAGGGGACAGGTGGAAGAGAGTCACAGGAGGTAGAATTGGTCAAGACTCAGAAATCGAATGAGTATTAGTAAAAGGAGTTAAGCACTATGGTTTGGCTCCTGGGAGTGGCTGGACAGTGGGACCATTCTCAGTGGCAGGGCAGCTGGAGAAGCAGCACATTTTTGGTGGGATGATGAGTTCTGTTTTTGACAGGTGGTATTTGAGGGCCTGGGGACATTGAGTGGATCTATGGCCCTGGCCCTTGGAAGATGAACCTGGGCTGGAGACTGATGTGCAAGTTATGGGTAGAAAGGAAGCTGTTGAATCTGACTTGGGGTGAGCCCGCCTAGGAAGGTCTAGGAAAGTACTTACATTCCAGGGGTAAGCAGAGGTGGGGGGCTCTAAAAAACGAGGCTCCCCATCATTGAGAGAGCTGGTAGCATGCCTGTCACCAATGCCTTGTAAGCTCCTGAGATGGGCTCACTGAGCCCTGGGCCCAGGATTGCCAAGGGTGCATGTCAAAGGGACTCAGCCTACCTGTCAAGAATACAGCTGGTTTCCCGTGAAAGAGTGACCCCATCCTAGATAGCAATCCCATTTTCTGCCGCTGTGGGTCCCACGTGTCCCATGTGGCTCCAGCACGTAATTGTATACAATGCATGGAATGTGGGATCTAAATCTGATATTTTCTGCTTCCTGCTTGACTGGAGGAGCCCCTTCCATGGCTGGAGCTGCGCTAACACAAACCACATTGCAGAGGATTTTTCTATTCCTCGCTTCCCCAGTGCCCTGGGAGGAACACTGCAGGGCCCAGTCTCCACCCAGGGAAGCCGCTGGGCCTCAGGGGCGGTGCAGTCAGTTAGAGACACCTGCAGCCTGCAGGAGGTGCTCCAAGCTCTGGCTGCACCTGCACCCACATTTTCCTTGTTTCTGGTGTGGTGGGCCTCCTGGGGATCTGCTGATTTGCTTGTGTCCCCTAATGTGATGCTATAGAGCTCCAGGAGTTGGCCATCTCCACGTGGAGCAGGGCCACCGCCTGGCTTGTCATTTAGCAAATGCTCTTGGGCATAGCTCTGGGCCTGTTACCTCACCAGGGCTGGGAGCCACAGAAGAAGACACAGGCTTGTCCAGTGGGGCTCATAGCCCACTCCAGGGGTTCACGGGCCACTCTGGAACAGCTGGAGGTTTCGACAAGGATGCAGGCCCAGGGTGTCACGGGTGCACAGTGGTGGACACATAACTAACTCAGCCTGAGGTTGGCATATTCAAAGAATTCTTCCAGGAGGAGGTGGCACCAGACCCAGGTCATGAAAAAGTGAGTATTACTTCTTTGAGCCTTGGTTTTTCTCACTGGTGAAATGGGCATAACAGAAACCTTTCATTCTTAACACTGCTATGAATTAGATGAGATAAAATGTGGCTGAACCGAGATGAAATGCATGGCAGACATTGTAGGATTAGCTAACCCAAAGCCATTCACAACTCCCTTCTTCCTGCTTTTTATTACCATGGAGGCTGGAAAGGTAAAACACTCATGCCTCCTTTTGTTAGAAGGGGCCATGTGACACAATTCCAGCCCTGTGAAGTCCCTATGAAGGGTTTACTTTGCTGGGAGAAAAGTCTTTGCCCCTTTCTTGTTTTCTATCTGAAAAGAGGAGAGAATGCTGGAGACACAGCAGCCATATTGTGAGCATGAGGCACAAACATTAGTTTGGGGTCTAAACTTGGGGGCCTGATGGAATATGAACTTCTATACCAGCCCTGGACACTTTCTCTGAACTTCTCCTTTCATGAATGCCAAAGCCACTCTAAGTGGAGTTTTCTGCAATGGATCCCTTGTTGGTACAGTTGTGAAGTCCTTACATAATGCTTGATGTACAAGCTGCTTCGTATAGAACAGGGATGATGGAGGAGGAGGAAGAGAAGACATAAAGGGTTTCCTAGGCAGCGGTGGAAAGCCAGGTGTCCTGAGAGAATAAGAGTATGCTTGGGAGCTGGATGAAGGGTGTGGAGAGGGATCTCTGGGAGATGAAGTGGCAGGGACCAGCAGGGGCTAGCAGGGGCCTGGTATGCCATGCAGAAGAGTTTACACTTTATCCTAAATAAGAAGGAGGGAGTGGACTCACCGAACGAACAAAGGGAAAAGAGAATTTCAGGAAGGGGACGGGGGTGTGATCAGCAATGCCAAACGCTGCTAAAGGGTCGAGGAAGATAAGGAGACATCAAGGAAAAACTAGAGTTGGACAGTAGTTAAAGAAGTGAGAGCAGATTTTACTGAGATGGTTGCAATAGGGGGTTAGAGACTTCGGTACAGAGCTGGGCTCAAATCCGAGTACAGTGTGGGCGAGCGAGTGAGACTTGCCAGCGAGGAGCAGGGTGGGGGCCGGAGCATTGCCGTGAGGAAACATCAGGCCCGAGTCCTGTTCTGCCCCGTCACGCTCCTCCACGGGGCCGCACCACAACCCCTGTGGCCTGCCATGCACACTGCTCTTGGGGAGATGGCCTTTGAAATACAGGTGGTGGCACCCAGGACCCAGAGCCCCACGTACAGGTGGTGACAAGACAGCAGGAGTCAGCACGGGGCTGGGACGGACCCTGGAAGCACTGCCGCAGCACCACGAATCCAGCCACTCTGGACACTGTCGGAGGTGGCAGAACTCGAGAGCACAGGGCCGCGACACATTTAACGTGTTTGATGTCCGTGTCCTACTAAACCCAGCTCAGGAAAGCTGCGTGGAGCACACCTTTCCCAAACCTCACCAGCCCCATTCGATTTCTTAAATCCTCTCAAATGTGATAAACGAAAAATGCTATTTCTTGTCTCAGAAGTACATTTGTATGATTACAAGTAAGGTTGAATATATTTTTACCTGTCTGTTGGTCTTATAATGTTTCTTTGTGTTTGTTTATTTCTCTGGCACATTTTTAAAAAATTGCCCCATTTGTCTTGTTGGTCTGTAAGAATGCTTTGTATATTAAAGTTACTGACTCTTTATGCTAAATACTGTCCAATTGGTCTTTTCATTATTCCCCCCCTAAGTTTTATTTTGAAAAAATTTCAAATGCACAGAAAAGTTGAAGGTTACTAGGCACATCCGTGAACGCGCCGTCGATTCCCACAGGTGGGGGCGCTGCTCCGTGGAGACTGGCAGGAACTTGATTAGGAGGCCGGGCTAGCAGAGCTCACTACCTGGGATGCAATCTGCAATCACAGCAGAGGCCCCAGTGGGGGGCGCTCCCCAGCTCCGGGTGGCCTTTCCAGGTCGTCCTGAATCAGGACAAAGGGGTGGGCCTTTACACTCCCTCTCGACCAGTCACTGGATGTGCCCTGAGCTTGGGCGCTGCAGCTCCCTGCAGCTCACCTCTTTCCGGGGAGGGCTGAGCAGAGGTGTGGGCTGCCAGCACCCCCAGCAGCCACCGAGCAATCACTTGGGTCCTGGAGCACCTCTGTCCCCGACAGCGGGTCTGGTTCTGTGCACCACACATGCCCTGCCCAGCTGTCAACACTCTGCCACATCTGCTCCATCCTCTCTCTGTCTCCCTGTGGTTCTTTGTGGGTTTTTTCCTGAAACATTTAAGAGTGAGTTGTAGACATCATAACACCTCATTCTGAGCACTTCAGCATGTACCTCTTTAGAACAAAAGCATTCTCCTACATCACACGACACCATGATCACACTCAGGAAATCTGACATTGATACAACACTATTATCTAATATCCAATCCATGTACCAATTTCCCTGGTTGTCCCAACCATGTCTTTTATTTCCACGGGGTTTCCTCCCTGCCCACCCTCAGTCAAGAAGCCTTTGCCACGTGGGCCAGAAGACCTGAGGCAGCCCACCCAACCCGAAGGACACCAGGATCCCCATCAGCCCCAGGATGTTCCCAATCAACACTCCATTGCCACTGGCCTCATCCTCAGGGATGGGTGCAAGGTCTCACATCCAGCCGGGGGACACGTCTTCTGGTTCCTCCAACCCTGAGTCTGCTCCTGTCAGCACCTACCTTCCCAGGCTGAAGACATTTGGTCCTCTAATAACTGTGTGTTTAGAACAGAAACCCTGGGCTCCATCTGAGCAGCATCAGGACTGGGCATTCCCAATTATTGCACCAAGTGTCAGCAGCTGTTATTTCAAAAGTTGTTGTTTGAAATCTTTTGTGTCCACAGAGGTCTCCAAGAAAATGTGATGGAGACACAACTCCAGAACATTCAGAATACTGAAATTCATGACGGGCAAGCCCACAGAGGGGCAACGCCTCAGACAGTGGCCACACCGAGGAGAAGCCAGGACTTCCCCAGATAACAGTAACCGCTACCCTTTACTGAGGCCCTGTGGTAAGGGCATTCCCTGCTTGATTTCATTTACTCTCTGGCACATCCTGATAGGGATCCCTGTCCCCCTTTAAAGCCAAGGAGGCAGAGGATGACAGAGGTTAATTAACCTGATAAAGGTCACAAAGCTAGTGCATGGCAAAAGTGCTTTGGAAGCCAGGTCTTTACCACGACCCCATACTGTAGTCTTTTTCCTGACCTCAATGGGGGCATGTGGTCCTCACACCCCGGTCTCCCAGGACACCTTACAGCCCCAGGTGAGCTTGTTGGCTCACAGAGGCATGGAGCACTAATGAATGGGGTCTTGGTCATTCCAGCAGGCAGGGACTTCAGCCACACAGTAATGCTGTTACAACCAGTGACCAGAAGATGGCAGTGTCTGCCAGCCTGCCCCGTTTTGTCCCCAACGCAAGGGCTCTGAGATGTCCCCTTCTGAAGGCTTCTGGGAAAGAAACTATCCTTCTCCCTTCTTGTCTGTTCTTCCCCTCCCCTGCCTGGTGGCCTGGGGCACAGGGGCCAGCCACGCCCAGTGGCCTGGGGCCGGAGCTGCGCTGACCCGGCTGTGGATGCCAGAGCTGTTGCTCGGGGTAACCTGGGCTGGGCAGCCCTGAGTTGAGTGCGGGAAATACCTCAAGCTCAAGGAAGCCCAGCCCTGGGCATCATAGGAGGGCTGAGCCAGAGCCCGCTGGAATCTCCCCACCCTCACTGCGCCAGGTCTGTCTTCCGGAGACATTTGCAGCAGTCTCTGTACTGAGAGGAGACCAGCATCACCAGAGGGGGAGATGGCGGTAGGCACTTTGCAGGCTGTTGTCACTGCCTTCCTTCTCCCTCCCTCCCAGGGAGACCTAACACAGGGCCCTGGCTCCTGTCCGCTTACCCTCTCTCCAGCTCTGAGTTGGGAAGCCAGAGGCTATGGTGGGTCCAGACGGAGAACAGCTCCTGGCTGGGTCCTGGGAAGTGGAGCAACTCTTATGCTCTCCCCACCTTTCACTGGCAGACCCAGATCAAATGGTGCTGGACATGGGACTGTCAGCCTCACTGCACATTTGGGGGTCTAAAGCCAGGAAGGGTAAGAGACTTGCGGCCCAAGGTGGGAGGCACAATTTGATTTCAGGTCTCTTGACTCTCAGGGGCATCAGTTTTATGTTGCAAATTAGCCCATGGCTACAGGGACCCAGCACCCCCAACAGTGGGCAGGCAGAGGCTGGCCTGCCTCCTGCCTCACCCACAGGGTGCCCCGGGCAGAGCTGAGGTGAGCCCCTGTTGGCTGTGATAGACAGCAGAGGCCCAGGATCACAGCGGGGACCCAGGATCACAGGTGGCTGTGATGCCAAATGACAGCCTGCTGGTCACTTCCCCTTGCTGGGGACTTGGCCTCCTCAAGTGAGCAATGTGGGCTGCAGAGCAGCTCCCCTTGAAGATCCTCCTGGTTCTCTCGTCATCAGATGTGGGGGCCAGGTGTCTGGGTGTGGTGGCAGGAGACCCTCAGCAAGGCTGAGCGGGCTGAGGCTGGGCTTATTAAAGGTCCTGTGTGAAGGTCACCTCAACGCAGCTCCAGCTGGTGGGATCGAAGACTAACTTCCTAGGTGGCCTCAATCCAGTGTCCCAGGTTCCCAGATGACATGTGAACTCCCCACAGCAAGGGTGCCTCTGAGCCACGTGGCTCTCACGGGGCTGTATAAAGAACTTCCTCACATTCAGAGCTATCAGAGGCTGCCTGGGATAGGGAGCTCCCCGTCTCTGCAGGTATGCAAGCACAGCCCGAGGAGCAATTTGTTGTGATTCAGGCATGGCATGGAAAGTTGGTCTAAATAACCCCAAAGGTCCTTTCAGATCCTGGGATTCTATGCCTGAATCAGGGGCTTGGTGTTCAGAGAAAGCAAATAGCTTCTTCAAGGGATGGGTGAGCAACAAAGTGCTCCTCAAGGGAAGGATCTGGGGGTGAGAATGTGGGACCCTCCCTCCTCGCCCCATTAAGACACACCACCCTCCCCCCAGCCAACTGCTCTCTCCTTTCCCTGCCTTCCTCTGCTGGAACCAACCTCACCTCCTCTGAGGAGGAGACAGCTGGAGTCTGGAGGTCCAGGGGTTGGCAGGCAGCCATCAGACGGGGTGAATAACTAAAGTTAGAACTTCCAGAACCCAGGTTCCTCCTACCTTCTCTGAACCCTGCTCCGGCTCTCTGTCTCTGGGCCTTTCCAGATATGCCTGGGGCAACATGGAGGATGGAGGAACTTCTGTTGACACGCAGGGCATAGAGCACAGCTTCCAGGGTTCCAGGCTGTGGGCGGCAGCTCTCTCCTGCCAGCCCACCAACCAAAGGCCTCCTGCAATCCCCAAGAGGAAGCCCCCAGGGGGCTGGGCCAGGTAGGGATTGTGGGCCCAAGAAGGGCCACCTGCTCACCCAGAATGCTCAAGCTTCACGGAGTCAGGGACGATGGGGACCTCTCATCTCACGTTTCTTTTTCTCCAGCAAGGACGCTATCTTCACTGTGGGTGGGTGCTCAGTTGTGGGGCTCGGAAAGCCCTGGGCAGAGCTTCTGGAGACCTGGGTCACGGGAGGCCCCGCAGCTGGTATGACAGACTGCATTTTAAAAGGTGTGAGCTCCCGGTTGACTGCAGTGGCAGGAAGGCGGCTCGGGGGTGGCACCTTCATAGTTTTTGCCTGGACCTGAGAAGTTCTTTTTCTGCTAAGAATTTCCCAGAGAGCCAGAGAGGATAGGCTGTCCTCTGGGGTTCAGGGAGGGGTTTAGCCAACCAAAGCCCCTCACACCCTCATCCCCCACAGGCAGTTTGAAGACTATAGGTGACTCCACTCTGTCACCAACTCTGCCACTCACCAGGTGACTCTGAACAAGGTGTTGAATTTCTTTGACTCAACTTTCCTCATCTATAAAATGGGAATAGTACCTAGCTGCCAAGATAGAATAGTCATGAGAATGCAATGACACGAGGTGTGTAAAGGAGCAGGCATGATGCTGGAATTCAGGAGGCAACAAAGTGGGCACCATCGTTGTTTATGGGCCCAAACATCCTCTATGTCTCCCTCCTTTCTGGGCTCGGCTCCAATGTGACCTCTGCTGATTATGAAGCCTCCCCCCCCCAGCCCTGGTTTCCCATCGCTTTGCTCTGAATCTCCTGACAGTGTACCGTACATTTGTGTGCTTTACTCTTTGTTGCCACTTGTGCCCATCCTAAAGCTCCACGTGTTCGTCCTGTGCGTTGCTGAATCCACAGTACACGGAAGAATAACTGGCAACGAGTATTTACTTGAAAGAAGGAACAAACGGTGGAGGATGATAAATAATTGAATGAATGAATAAGTGTCCCCACTGTACAGACCAGACGAGGGGTGAAGTTGAGTTGAAGTCAGATGGCAGGCAGTGGCCCTGGCAGCACCAGCTTACCCCGAATGCTTCCTGCGAAGCCTTCCAGTGTGGAAAAGCTGCTTCTCCCTCTGCCGTTATCATCCCTGGCACTCAGAATACATTGGGGGTTGGGGACAAGGCTACTGAGCCTCCTCTGTGCCAGCCTGTTATGGCAGCCACACACAAACTTCCTGAGCTGAGAATTCTCCCATTTTACAGATGAGAAAATTCAGTCTCAAAGAAGGGAAGTGGCTGCTCCTACAGGGGATGGCAAGGGTGCGGAGATTCCAACTCATCCCTCATTAAGCCCCAAGGTGGCCTAAGGGCAAAGCTGTCATGTAATCAGCAAATATTTCTTTGTCACTGGCTGTGCCAAGATTGTGCCAGGACCCCTCTATTCTCTCCTTTAAAAAGTTGAGGAAACTGAAGCCACGACAAGGCAAGGGAGACTTGCTGTTAGTGATCAAAGCCAGATCTAGGACTAGCAGCTATTGACCCCAGCACAGGGTTCCCAGAGTGTTGGCACAAATCATAGATGAGCTGATTTGTAAAACACCAAAAGGCCGCGTGCTCCCGGCTGCAGGGGGAAAGGAGGCCGAGTGGCACAGTAGAGCCCAGCAGAGACCTGCTGCCAGCCATTGTGCGCGGTGGTGACGGGGATCTGCCAGCCAGCCTGCGCGGTTCCTGCAGGGCCACTTTGTACGGCACCCAAAGAGGGAAATCTGTGACTATGGATTTGTCGCCAACTCTCCAACCTTGGTCCCCAAGGCAGAGTGAGCTAATGCAGCTTGGTTATCCAGAGCCCCCAGGCATGCGTATTCAGGTCAGGGGACGATCCTGGGAAGACCCTCGGCGCCGTCGGCAGCGCTGACCCTGGCCCGGGGCCCGCCCTTCTACCTTATTTCAGGCTTTTCTCCTAGGCGCACTTGATCGATCCGGGAGTACCGACCCTCGCCAGGCCTCTCCTTCCAGTCCCCAAAGATCCTTGAGCTTTAAGTGGCTCAAAGCCCTAAGCTGAGCCGGCGCCGCGTCTGCGCGGCGGGCCAGAGGGCGAGTTCGCTTGGGACGAAGCGGCGGTTCAGGGGAGCTCCAGGCCCGGCCTCTTCTGCGGGTCAGAATGCAGCGCAGCCCGGCGAGCGGCTGGGGATCTGGCAGCGTCGGGCTGGAACTGATAACCCGCTCAGAGTGATCACAACGCACCGTCCCGGTCTGGAGTTCAAGTTTAGATGAAAAGGACGCGCCTGCCCTTCTTCGGGGGTTCCTCCGGCTCGTGGATTCGCTGTAAGTTTTTTGCACTCAGGAAACCTCCCGGATGCCCCTTGAGCTGAGCCGACACTCGCTGACGACCTCCCTCTCCTGCGCGTCCCCCAGAGATGTGGCCTCCGGGACATCCCACTGCCAGTTGCGGAGTCAGGTGCCCTGACGCCCGCGCAAGTGCGCTCGCGGGCTCCGCCACCTCCGCCGGGCGTCCCGGCCACTCATCCACGCCCGTGCCATAACCGCAGCGACGGAAAGAAGTACGGAGGCGCCACCCCAGGGCTCCTAGCCGCCCGCCCTCCCGGCTGCTGGCCGCGCCCGCTACCCGGTAGCGGGTTTCAGCTAACCGCCCCCACCCCAGAAGGCAGGCGGAAGGTCACCAGTTCCATGCACAAACTGGCAGCGCACCCAAGCGCGGGAGTCCCCTTCTCACCCAGGGGCTGCCTTAGTGATTCCTGAGCTCCGTTAAGAGCTTGGTTCCGCTAAAGCGCAAATTCCGCACTCAAACATTTCCTTTCAGACGGGCGCCCCAAGTCCTTGTGTCTCTTTCCGGCCTGCCCTTCCAGCCGCTCGTCCTCTCTTCCTCCCCGGTGGGCCTCCTGCACTGCTCTAGCTGCCCGCTCCGATCCTTTGGGGACTGTAGCAAGGTGGGGAACCGCCGACCTGGTGCTCGGCCTTTCTGGCCGCCCCGCGCGCTCCGTGGCCTTTCGTTGCGCGCTAGCCACAGGGTCGCAGCGCGAGCCGCACGGGAGGGGCGATCCCTTCCGCGGCCCCACCTCTGGCGTCCCTGGCACTAGCGGAATAGGAGCGGGGAGGGGGCGGGTGTTTCTCCGCAGAGGAGTGGGGAGGCAGCTGGGCGGATACGCGCGATGCCCCAGAGCCTCGAACCAAGGAGAGCGCATTGGTCTCGGGCTCAGCGCCGGCAGAGCGCGGTTCGCATTGCCGCGGGGGATGGAGGCAGGACACCCGGTGAGGCAGAAGCCTTGGGCCGGTGTCAATCGCTCGGTGAAGGTGGGGGCGAAGCGCCGCGGTGGGCAGAGGGGGTTCCTGCCCTGGACTCCGCTCTGGGCCGGGGTAGGGGGCGCAGCGCTGCCGCCAGAGTGTTCAGCAGGGGGCGCTGCTCCGGGCGCTGGGCGGGGTGGGGTGGGAGAGGAGGGGGGGCCACCGCTGGCTGCGCACACTTCCCCCATTATTAAACACTATGTTCAAAAGGCGCCGGGGGACTTCCCGGAGCCACGGAGCCCTCGCCGCCCGCCCTCCCGGCCCACGGAGCCCATGGACCTGAGTGCCGCCGCCGCGCTGTGCCTCTGGCTGCTGAGCGCCTGCCGCCCCCGCGACGGGCTGGAAGCGGCCGCAGTGCTGCGAGCGGCGGGGGCTGGGCCGGCCCGGAGCTCGGGGGGCGGCGGCGGCGGGCGGACCCTCGCCCCGGCTGCAGGCGCCTCGGCTGTCCCGGCCGCCGTGGTTCCCGAGGCCCGCGCTGCGCGCCGCGCCGCCGGCTCGGGCTTCAGGAACGGCTCGGTGGTGCCGCACCACTTCATGATGTCGCTTTACCGGAGCCTGGCCGGGCGCGCTTCGGCCGGGGCAGCCGCGGTCTCCGTCTCAGGCCACGGGCGCGCGGACACAATCACCGGCTTTGCAGACCAGGCGACCCAAGGTACTTACGACTCTTCTGTGCCCGCCCATCCCGTCCGGTCCTGGGCTGAGACCACCCCGGGAGCCGTGCCACTGCTCCATTCCATTCTGGGCCGCGACCCCGCACATCCCCGCCTCAGGTGTTAGAAGGAAACTTTGCCGAGGCCAACGCACCTGAACCCGCCGCGCCTGGACTGTGGCGCGAGTCGCGGCAGCTCGCGGGGCCGGACCCCGCTTATTGAACGGGTCCCCGCTGCGGGGTTGCCCTGGCCTTGTCGGGTGGCGGATCCTTTCGAGGAGGCAGGCTGAGTCCAAGATTCAGTTCTTGGGGAAGGGTCTGGAGTGGGCGCAGGCTCAGAGCCCTCGGAGAAGAAAGGAGGGCAGGAGTTGGGACTCGGGCCGGCGAGAGGGACTGCAGTGATGGCGGCGGCGGCTTCGTTGCAGTTTCCGCAGCTCCCACTCTCCTGGGGGCTGCACAAACTGGGGGGAGCCCTGGGGAGTCTGGGGCAGAGGCAAGCGTCAGGCTCTAGTAAAGGCCCTGGAGAAGACGGTGGCAACATCAGGTATGAGGAGTGCCCCGCTCAGCAGGCTGGTCTGGATGGTGGTGGCTTGCATGTGCGCCAAGTGTGGAGCTATGGGTGCCTCTGCCTGGTGCTGGGCCCCTGGGAGAGCCAGAGGTCCCCGACTCTGGTTTCGTGGGGAGGAGAGGCCTGGAGACTGCAGGAATGCAGGCCTCTCTCAGACCAAGCGCCCCACCTTGCTCTGCCCTGGGCCCTCCAAAGGTAGGATGTGGGTGAGGCCGTGTGGTGGTTGCTGTGTGTCATCTGGATTTTATTAATCTCCACTGAAATCATTAAAGCAGACAGATAGAGAAAATTTAACTAATTTCAGGAGGAAATGCAAGTAATTTCGGCCTTAATTCCATCCAGCCAGAGACCCAGCGTGGAGGGCAGGAGGGAAAGACAGGCGAATAGGGCTGGAAATAAGTGCGCTCGTCTGAGGGGACCCTGCTCTGGAGCCGCTGGTGGCCTGTGCACCTCAGGTCGGGGCTGGGAGAGCAGGCAGAGTCTGGGCAGTGACTGGATTCTCCATCCTCTCCAACACACACACAATGCCTACGCACAGACTGCTTTACTCCGGGTAGTGGAAATCCTCGGCCCAAATGGCCCTACGGTCCATTAGAACACTCAAGCATTCTCTGGGGGCCTGACATGGCCCTGGGACTGGATGCTGGGATCCTCATGGGAAACCCCAGTCCTGGTGGGCTCCCAGGCTGCAGGAGGAGGCTGTGCAGCACCCTCAGCTGGCAGAGGCACCAGCCTCTTTTGCTTAGCTTGAGTCAAGTCTACCATGGTCTCAGATGGAGATAATCCTTTCCTGGGGAGCTCCCCTGGGCTGGCAAGGCCTGAGAGGCCACCTCTGTTTCTGCCCTTGTGGAGGCAATGCAGCGGCAGGGCCAGTGGTGCCAGGAGGGGCTGAGGGGCTGCAGGGGAAGTGCAGAGAGAGTGCCAGTGCGAGCCTGCAAGCCTGGGGTAGAGAGTGAGCAAGGAGCACCTGCCCAGCACCTCTCCTGCCCCCCCCTCCACCTTGAGCCTCAACTTGGAGCAGGCTGCTTGAGGTCCCCAGCGGCTAAGACAGGGCCAAACCTGGGACTTCAGGCATCAGGGCCTGGCGTGGGTGGTTGGTGGGCAAATCCCCAATGGTGGGGGAGTCTGCACAGTCTCTCTGACTTTGGGGCAAAATGAAACCATATGACCCCCTTCAAAGGAAGCTCTTATCTGGTGCTTGGTGGAATTTTAACCTTATTTATTTATTTTTTTTTTGCTTGAGCCCAAAAAGGAAAAAAAAAAGTATCCACAATCAGAAATAAAACCCCCAAGCTTGAGATAAGTCACCACAGAGGGAAGAATGCGCCCGCGGAGGGACCGGCGGGTCCTGGAAGCCAGACCTCACCCAGCCCGCTGCCGCCCTCACTGCAGCAAGGCCATTCGGGCTGCCCCCAGCCCTGCTGAGGCTCCTCGCGTTCCTTTGCCGCCTTTCCCCTCCTTCGGAGGCCGCCGGAGCACCGGGAGGGGCCGAGCCTGGGGTTGCTGATCGCCAGCAGCACAGCTCGTTGCTGAGCCCCTGGGCGAGCCTGGGCTTCGGTTCCCCTTAGCAAAGCGACGGTCCGACTAGAGGGAGGCTGCAGCCGCGCTCCCCTCTGGACGGCTCGCAGGCTCCAGCCTGTAGGGAGACTGCGGCCAGAAGGGACGTCCAGGCAGGGCTGGCGGAACAGAGGTAGTAGAAGAGGAAAGAGTTTTCGGGGGAAAGGAATCTTCCGTTTTCACACAGCCGGACTCGGCTCTCCAGGGGGCTCAGCAGGGCAGTAACAGCACTCCCCGCAAGGCTCCGGACGTCGGGAAGGGCCCCACAACTTCCCACGCGCTCACTAGGCCTTCGGTCCACTTCGGACCCAGTCCCCACAAACCCATGGCTCTGGGGCAGGCAGCAGAATTATAATGGCCTTAAGTCTTGGTCCCGGGTGCGGGGGTGCGCTCCTGGTCCGCGGGTTGTCCGGTGGCGGGACTTCTGGTTCATTGAACTAAAGCCGGGTCCCGGTAGCCGGGGCCTATGCTCCCTTTGCTCTGGCCATACTGGCAGCCTTCCGGGGGTGGCCAAGACGTGAGCCAGGCGCCGGTTCTAACGGGCCTTAATACGGCATTGCAGGCGGCAGGGACGTTTGCAGGTAGGAGGCCCCGCGGCCCAGAGTGCAGGCTTCACTCTCACTCCGCTCTTTGCGCTCTCTCTGTCCCTGCCCGTCCCCTGCAGACGAATCGGCAGCCGAGACGGGCCAGAGCTTCCTGTTCGACGTGTCCAGCCTTCCCGACGCCGACGAGGTGGTGGGTGCTGAGCTGCGTGTGTTGCGCCGAGGGTCTCCGGAGCAGGGCCCTGGCAGCGCGCCTGCCCCGCCGCTGCTGCTGCTGTCCACGTGCCCGGGCGCTGCCTACAGCCCGCGCCTGCTGCACTCACGGGCCGCCGAGCCCCTGGACGGCGCTCGCTGGGAGGTGTTCGACGTGGCGGACGCCGTGCGGCGCCACCGCCGGGAGCCCCGCGCTCCCCGAACCTTCTGCCTCTTGCTGCGCGCGGTGGCCCGGCCGGCGCGGAGCCCGCTGGCATTGCGGCGGCTGGGCTTCGGCTGGCGGGGCGGAGGCGACGCGGCGGCGGAGGAGCGCGCGCTGCTCGTCGTCTCCTCCCGCTCGCAGAGGAAGGAGAGCCTGTTCCGGGAGATCCGCGCTCAGGCCCGCGCGCTCGGGGCCGCTCTGGCCGCGGAGCCGCCGCCCGACCCGGGACCTGGCACCCGGTCGCCGAGGGTAGTCATCGGTGGCCGCAGGCGGCGGAGGACGGCGCTGGCCGGGACGCGGGCGGCGGCGCAGGGCAGCGGCGGGGGCGCGGGCCGGGGCCACGGGCGCAGGGGCCGGAGCCGCTGTAGCCGCAAGCCGCTGCACGTGGATTTCAAGGAGCTGGGCTGGGACGACTGGATTATCGCGCCGCTGGACTACGAGGCGTACCACTGCGAAGGTGTTTGCGACTTCCCGCTGCGCTCTCACCTAGAGCCCACCAACCACGCCATCATCCAGACTCTGCTCAACTCCATGGCGCCCGACGCGGCGCCCGCCTCCTGCTGCGTGCCCGCGCGCCTCAGCCCCATCAGCATCCTCTACATCGACGCCGCCAACAACGTGGTCTACAAGCAGTACGAGGACATGGTGGTGGAGGCGTGCGGCTGCAGGTAGCGTGCGGGCTGGGGAGGGGGCAGCCTTGCCGCCGAGGACCCCAGCGAAGGAGCAGCAGCGGGCCAGCCTGGCACGGAGCATGGGTGCGCGTCCGACTCTGGCCCGGCCCTCACGGAGGAGGGAGAGCACACGTTCACACGCACACACCTTCGTTCACTCATGCGCACGTTTACCGTGGACAGCGTCTGAAAGCCTTGGGAAGACACGACCTGACCTGCCGCTACTGACTGTCACGGCCTTGTGTTTGCAAACAGATCACCATTGCGCCCACTGCCCCGTCTGGGGAGAGGAAGGTGTTTGTGTTGGTGTTACAGTTACAGGCGCGAAAAAAGGGTAGAAAGGGGTTAGGAAATTGGGGGCTCCTGAAGGGTGAACTAAAGGGGCAGTCGAATACATTTTATCTCACTCCTCTTCGTTTCTGCCCGGTGTGGGGCGTGGGTGGCTGAGTTCCCGGTGCCCCCTGTGACCGACTGAAAGGCTGCAGCGCCCTTTCTGGAGGGTTTGCATTGCAGCGGGGGCATGTCCTCTGGGAAGAAACCGCTGCAAAGGACATCTTTTCTCATTAGCTTTAAAAATTCGACGTGCCCCCTGCCTCAGTTTTGCAAGGGAAGTGTTGTCTGGAAGAATGTGCTGCAGAGCTTCCCAGATCTCTGCAAGGGTCAGCACCGCCCCTTTTAATAAATTCCAATTGGAAATGATCTAGAAAGTGGAAAGAATATTTTCCTTTCATGGGGGAAGTGCAAGCTGCTGAGTCTGATCTGACTTGACATGGGGGTGGCGTGGGATCCGCCCGGTCTGAAGCCCCGGAGCTGGGCAGAGGGAGGTGGTAGCAGTGCCTTGGGGTTGCTGAAGAGGAAGTTAGTGCCCTGGCTGGGAACGGGAAGGGGGGAAGTTGCTGCTTTTCCTAGAGACCTGCCTGGAGGTTTTCCTAAGAAGCTGGCGAAGTCTCAGGACTCGAGCGTCCTCAGGCCAGCCCCAGCAGAGGACACAGGTTGGTCTGCCAGGTAGCCACAGCCCCCTACAAATGGCATACTCTGAATGGCTGGCACGTGCTTGGGCTCAGCTATCAAGTCGGCCTGGGCTTCTGCATGCTCTCACTGTGTTGTTGCTGTAGCTTTTGGCAGTGTGATAGCAATGGGAAGTGAAGCCACACAAAAGTGCTTTTGTCAGAATTAAACTCACAACCCAGACCCTGAGAGCAGGAGGGAGGGCCGCCCCCTCCCCTCCTCAGCCTGGCCTTGGCCTTCAGAAGGGCAGGGCCCTGGTGTGGGGGAGCAGAGGTGGAAGCCTATCTCCTCATTTCTGTATTTTGCCCCAAAGAGCCTTACTGATGGTCAGATTTTCTGTTCATGTGAAAGTGAGCTCGAGCATGCAGCCTCCATTGTTTTATTTGACTCCTTCGTGGCCTATTGTGAATGGTTGGCAGAGGGAAGAGAAACTGCTGGTCTGGGGGCCTGAGGGCTGCTTTGCAAACCGCTGCAGCCCTCCTGGGTGCTTCTGTGTGATGTGCTGGGTTTTCTCCTTTGGGGTCCTGGAGAGGCATTAACTCTTCCCTTGTCTTAGATGCTAAGGTCCAGGGACAATTCATATACATTTTAATTCTTAGTGATGACACTCCTGAAACACAGAGAGAGAGAAACTAAAGATTTAGATACAGCCAGTTTATTTAAGAGTCTCATCTGAGTCCTTTTCATCCTGTAAAATTTCCCCAGAAGAAAGGAAACATGTATAAATTATTCTTAAAATTAAGATTTACCCCTTTTCATAACATGACTTTGTATTCTTTGGCTATGCAAGCAGCTGTAAATAACCAGGAAACAGAACAGTCTCTTCAGGCTAAAATTTTTAAAAGTATCCCAAAGTGGCTGTTCTGGTACAATCCCATCCGATTTTAGTGACTAGGAAAAGAGGGTTCCCAAATTTATGGGTTTTGCCAGAGAAGTCTCACTCTTGTTTTCTGAATGAAACTTGTAATAATGAAGAATTTAAAAAATGGCACCAAAGCGTTAAAAGTTGTAGTATTAGAAGGTTTAGAAGGGAAGTCAACGAAAAGCTACAGTTAAACATTATTTTGAAGAAATTTTAGTGTATTTAATATCTTTGGACAAATGCAAACATTTTGATACTTGTTTAGGGACTAGGAAAAACAATATTTTTGGAAGAAATTGTCTTGATTTAGCCTGAGATTTTTATGGTAGGGAAAAAAATGCCCATTTTCCCTGTTTCCTTCTGATGATTTCCTTCTGATGTATGTTGCAAGCAATGTTGGAAGTGGGTGTCTCCTTGTGTCTCAAGTCTAGGCTGTACCTCTCCCAGGGAGGGGAGAGGAGAGGTACTGTCCTCAGACAGTGACAGTTCCTCCTGTGGAATGAAAGGAGTGTCTTTCTGGTTTCCTCTGGAGCCCCCAGGGGCCACGGTGCACCTGCCAGCTCTGTCCAGTCCTCAGCTTCTCCCGTCCAGTCCCTTGGTGAATGCAGGGGATGTATGGTTCACTGCCTGAAAATGACAGCAGAAGGGCCACCACATGCGGAGCAGACAGGGTTTTGCTGCTAAGATGTGGTTAAACTAGCTTCTGCCAGCACAGCTGGTAGCACCTGTGTTCTCTGGTTCCCTGTCTGTAGGTAGCGGGGAGCAGCGGGCGCCTGGCAGCGCTGCTTGCGTCCTCAGCTGGACTCCCTAGTCACCATGGGTGGGACAGCTGACAAGCAGGGACTGTGAGTGAAGGCAGCCCTCCCTCTTCCCTACCCTACCCTGGACCTGAGGTCACCAAATTCTCCCTCCTAAATAGTTTTCGGTTTGGAGGGAGAATTGTGCACTCCTAGTTGAGATCATTTGAGCCACTTTTCCCTCTAGTGAGTGGGTCGTGAGGCCTGGCCTTCCTGCCTAGGGAGCTTGGCACAGGCCCGTTGGCGCCCAAGTGGGGTTGGTGCTGGATGTGCCTAACACCAGGACGTTCTGGTCACTGCTGCTTGAAGCCAGCGCTTTCATGTTCAGGGAGAACCCTGCTCTGGCAGGCGGGCATTGCCACTGGCATCCGAGCGCTTGCCTTGCCGGATTCTGGCTTTCCAAGCAGCTAGGCTTCCAGAGAGGGTGGCAGGCTTTGCCATCTCAGTTTGGGGCAGCCAGGCTTGAGCTGTGCTCATTCCTTATATCCATGGTCCTCTTCACTGTGCTCTCCTGGCACTTTCTTGCTAAGAGGTAGGCACCCTATGGTAGTAGAGCCCCAAACCCACCAAGTGCAGGCCAGACACTGCTCCCTGGCAGCTCTCACGCTGTTGGCAGCAGCCAGAGCCCTGCATGGCACCAAAGCGGGTACTGATAATCCTGCGGATGGGCTGGAGTGTAATTCAAATCCTGCATGTCAGGTATCCTGTCGGCAATTTCATCCCAACTCACAGCAGAAAACAACTAGGGTTTGTAGACTGAATTTTCAGGCAGAAAAACCGAATTCTTTGCAAGAGTAGCTGGTGTACAGATAAAGTCAAAGTTTTCCCTTGCTCGAATCTGGTCTCCAAAAAATCTAGTGAAAGGAAGAGAAAGTGCCGGAGTTGTCCCTGGGCCCAGATGTCATTGGGGGGCCTTGCTGGTTCTCACGAGAGCATGGTCAGTTGGGGCTGCAGCCCTCTCCCCAGCCTGGGAAGCAGGGGCCACCAGGTGGGCTGTGGGCCAGGAGGCCTCGGTCAGATGGCCGGTGGGCTGGAAGGCCAGAGGCAGCCCCAGTCTGCCGGGGGGGGGGGGGGGGAGCCAGGAGCTGCCTTTACCACTCAGAAAGTGTCTAGGTTGGGAAGGGAAGAGAAGAAGTGGGTGGCAGACGGCAGTTGTCGCACTTTGGGAGTGAGTGGGAAGTAGCCAGATCCCTCTGGGGGCTGGTGTGTCAGAGCCACCCTAGAGTCAGAGCCCACTGTGGGCTCAGCACGCCCAGAGGGACCTGTCCCCCAGAGCGGCCTGTGCCCACCTGGAGGGAGGCCGCCTGGGCACCAGGGCTCCACTGCGCGTGTGCTGAGAGGTCTGAGGCGAGTCTGGACAGTCACCTCCCTCTGGAGCATCCACTTCTGCCCCTGTACCATGTGGGCCTCTCCCATCCCAGGTTCTAGGATTCTGCTCTGCCCAGAGGCCCACTCAGCCACTTCAAAGGCTGAGCAAATATGACTGCTTCTGTAAAAGGTCCCTGGCAATCCCAGTCCCAGAACCATATCTCATGGGTGTCGCAGCTCTTGCCTGTGTGTTGTGTGTATGTCCATCCATTTTACTTCCAACTCTGTCGATGCATCATGGACGTTGCTTTGATTTCCACCTGGGGCCTGGCAGGTGCGGGGGAGGCCAGCAGCTTGGGGGCGGGGCTCAGCTCACCAGAGCAAGAGCTGCCTTGTGCCCCCTGGGTGCGGGGCACTGCTAACACAGCTCGGTCCCGCCTGGGCTCACAAGGTGTGGGTAGTGCCACACTTGGGCTGAGATTATCTGCGACCAAGCACTTGGAAAAGGCTCCCACCTGCTGCTGATGCTGCTGCGGGGCCAGCAGAGGAAGGACTGTGCCTTGTTGGCAGCTCGGACAGCGACCTGGGACTGTCCCAGAGGCCGAGGCCGAGGCCGAGGCAAGCAAGCCTGTCCCAGGGTGGACTGCTCCCCTAGCCCCTACCCTTCCTCACCCACCTCACTGCCATGCACACATCTGGGTTTGAGGTCCTATTCCAGCTTGCCAGGGAGTGGCCCTGGGGCAGGCATCAGAAGGGATTCTCTCTGTCTTCCTTTTTATAGTCTGGAACGTGGTGGTGGGGTTTAACATAAAGAAGTACGAGGAGGGAGGATTCAGAAAAGATGTTTATTTTTAATTTTTCAGATGCTTGGGCTTTTGTACCTGGGATCTCCTGACCATTTAGGCAGGAGCAGAGTTTTTCCTCCCTTTGTGCCATTCTGGACTTTAATCTGTGCCCGGAGCTTAGAATATCACACATAGGTAACCCAGAGGAGGGTAGAGGTGAGCGGGCCACCATCCCGGCCTGAGGAGACACGTGTGTGCACAAAGGCTACACGGGGAGAGGGTGGGAAGTTGGCCGAGTGCACCAGTGGGTGATTGAGGGCTCAAAAGCTGCCGCGTGGGCTGTGACCATCATCCAGGGATGCTTGACCAGGGCTCGGCTCGCAGCCTGCAACTTGGTGACAGGCCTTTGGCTGGACAGAGTTTGGGTTGGGGCTTCGTGGTGGCAGCAGCAGTTCCAGCAGAGCAGCCCAGGACAGGTGGAGTCATTGAAAAGTAGGTGTGAGGTCACTGAGAAAGCAGTCTGTGTTTCACGTAATGCTTGCAGCTGCCAAAAAAGCACAAATGCATCCTGAGAGCAGCACAGGCAGTGGGTGACGGCCTGCTTCCTCCTGCCTGCGCTGACGCTGCGGGGGCCTTCTAGCACCTGTGCGTGGCGTGTGTGCGTGTGCGTATGTGTGTGTGTGTGACAACAGAAAGGACGTATTCTCTCACACGCTTCCCCTATGGTGGTGACGGCTGCAGTGTTCACAGAGACGTCCTGAGACAGGTGTTTCTGTGCAGACAGGTGAGTTTCTTGGCAGGACAGCTTGGTGTGATGGTGCAAGGAGACCAGCGTCACTGTTTTTGTCAGATGAACTTCCTTCTGCTGGTTTAGAAACTCCTCGCTTCAGAGAGGGCTACCTGGTGGAAGCTGGGGTGCAGAGACTTTGGATCATTTTTATAAATCAGTAAGAGGATCATGGAATCAATCGTCAGGAAAAACGAGGAAAAGCCTCTGACAGTTGACCCCAGGTGGCTTTAGGCATGGCGGTGCAGACCGGCCAGGACGTGGCCGCCACTTTGCTTTGGTACTGCTGTTTCACTGCCTTTTGAGCTGTTGGCAAACAGGAGTGTGGTGCAGCAGTGGCTGGAGACGTGGCCGGGCAGGAGGTGGGCGAGTGGCTGTCTTTGCAGTCACATCCACACTGCTCCCTCTGACCAGCAGTGACAACAACCACACCCAGTCACTGCATCTAGACACGGACAGAGATGTCTGCTCTGCATCTAGGACAAGCCCAGACACTTGGCTGCCAGAATCTAGAACCACGGCTGAGCTGACCCAAACAAGACTTCTGGGTAAGGCTTGTTCATAGGTGTCCCGATGAATTAGAAGCAAACAGGAACCAATGAGAAGTGCATGGGCTAATGTCTCCAAGATGCTCCCTGGGCTGCAAGATGGGAAGGGACAGCACACAGGCCGGTGAGTCGGTGCAGCTGGCACAACTTGTCCCTGTTTTACAGTATGCAAGGTGGTCCTGAGGAGCCTCAGACCTCTCATGCATGTATGGGCAGCCCTCACTTGGACTTTGCGGTGGGGTGAGTCTGAAGACCAGTGACCAGTTGTGTTGAGGGCCTTTCCTTGTCTGCATCTGTTCCTCTCCGGGTGACTGAGGGCTGCTAGAGCCACGCAGTGTACACGTGTCCTGGATCCCCCATGGCCTGGGGCAGCAGCAGCTTGGCTGGGGTGAGCAGGCTGGCTTGAGCAAGGGGCCGCCCACAGCAGGGCTTGTGTCCCGGGGCAGAGCCTGCAGCGTTCCATTTAGAAAATGCTGGTGCAGCTCAGTGAGAAGCAAAGTGCGATGAAACATGTTCTCTGGCTGAGAAGTACTCAAGTGTTCCAAGCCAGGAAGAGAGACTCTCGAGAGGGGATTTCTTTGGCATTCTCTGTCTTGGATGGAGCACAGATTAAACATGAGCATCCTTAGAGTCATTTTGTTTTTGTATTTCATTTTATACTGTAATGCAAACAGCTTTTACATTTTCTTTGACAAAGAATCATAATTGAGTCACTTTTAGGTCGTTTAGGTGGAAGTATTTCACCCCATGTGAAAAGTTAATGCATTTTTTACAAGGATTAACATGCTAACTGTAACTTGCCCTTTCAGCAGATGACAAGAGGGGACCTGAAAAGTCTGGGAAAAGTTATTTAAAAACATTTTTTTTTAAATTATAAATAAAGAAGCAGATCTTTTTACTGCAGAGGTCCTGTACCAGCTTCCAAAGTGATGCCGCGTAAGCCGGCCCTGGGCGGCCGCAGAGTTCTGCACATGGTGCATGGCCTGCAGCTTCAAAAGCGAATTTAATCTGATTCTAATACTGTGATTTTAAGGAAATGGCAAAAGTCGCAGTGATGGTAATGCCATCAAGGCTCAGTAATACCCCCCAGCAGCTAAAGACAAAATTAATTATTTGGGGGTGGGGGTTAGAAGTCCCTTTCATTTTGCAATGACACCCACTGTTTCTCAGCTTGGCTTGGGAGTAAGGAGATGGAGGAAGA